TTATCACATGGATCTACCATCATTTAACACAAGCCTTTCTTGAACATGATGTTTATTGCCTGCTTTTAATTATAAAAATATTGAACAACTCAAATATCTCTCTTTTGTTTCCTTCAGATAATTCTGACAACTTTGTTAATGATCCGTTTTCAGAACACAGAAGGAATCTAGAGATGAATGTAAATTCGTCCTTTGAGCCCTTCCTGTGAACTTGCTACATTTTTTTTATCATCAAGTCCCCAGTGTTTGCAGAGAGAGGGTTAGCTGATTATTAACCCAAATTCAGTCTAAAACATACAATTTTCAATCACAGCTTTAAGGAAACCCACAAGGGTACATTTCCAAACTGCAGCGCTGAAGAGCAGCTTGTTTACCAGTTGCTGAAAACTATTTTCTGAGGATATCTATTTTGTTTTGTCTGGAGAGCCAAATGTTTGAAGTTTTCACATTTACAATTATGATGAAAGCTATCAATATCAAAAGAAAAAGAGATCCTAAAAGTAGTCCCTACCACAAACTGGGTTTTACCCAATTATGGAAGAGTTGTCACAGCATATTTGGGGAGAGGCAGGCCACCAGGGGCTCTCTCTCCCCTCGCTCGCCCTTACCACATGTGCCCACACGCACACACACACCCCCAAGAAACTAAATAAGACCAAAGGGGTCAAATGCCAGGACATTAGAGTCATGTCATTTTGGTTTTAAATGGAAAATCAGTCCTGTAGTCATTTTCTGACCTTAGGGAAAAAAAGCAGGCCGGGATGGTAGCTCACACCTGTAATCCCAGCATTCAGGGAGGCCAGGGCAGGAGGATCTCTCGAAGCCAGTAGTTCAAGACCAGCCTGGGCAACATATCAAGAACCCATCTCTACAAAAACATTTTCAAAATTAGCTGGGCACAGTGGCGTGTGCCTGTAGTCCCTGCTACTCAGGAGGCTGAGGCAGGAAGATTGCTTGGGCCCAGGAGTTTGAGCCTGTAGTGAGCTGTGATTGCACCACTACACTCCAGCCTGAATAACAGAGACTCTGTCTCAAAAAAAAGAAAAAGAAAAAAAAGAAAGGAGAAAAGAAAAAAGGTCAGGCATAGTGGCTAAAGCCTGTAATCCCAGCACTTTGGGAGGCCAAGGTGGGCAGATCACCTGAGGTCAGGAGTTCGAAACCAGCCTGGCCAACATAGCAAAACCCCATCTCTACCAAAAATAGAAAAATTAGCCAGGCGTGGTGGCACATGCCTGTAATCCCAGCTACTCGGGAGGCTGAGGCACGAGAATCACTTGAACCCGGGAGGCAGAGGTTGCAGTGAGCCAAGATCGCACCACTGCACTCCAGCCTAGGCAACAGAGCGAGACTCCATCTCAAAAAAAAAGAAAGAAAAAAAAAAGCCATCTTGGCATCATGTTTGCAGTGAGATTCAAATCAGTCACTCAGTTGCTGTCAGACGTCCCTCAGGATGGATTGTTTAGTACCACTGCCGGGCTTCAAGGATCCTAGCACGCACTAAATCCTAGTTCAAACTTAGACCCTCAGAATTTCCTTCAGTCCTGCCTGAAACTGTCTTCATCGCTGTCCATTCCTGGGCCCCTTGTTGGAGAAGAGTGTTTCTATCCAACCCTCCTGTCCTCCAGGCTCTGGTCTATGAGCCATCCAGTACCAACCAACCCTTTGCAGACATTTCTGTGGCTCAGGGACGCAACAAGCCCTATCTCCCCCTGTGTTATTTCCTCTATCACATTCGTATTAAGCCTGAAGAATGTTGGTCAGTCAGTCATCTGCCTTTGGGCTAGCTGGACTGCAGCTGGTTTCTGAAGTTTTTCAGTCTGGCTTAGTTTTACCCGTGAGTGGGTGACCTCAGAAGTAGGCACCATTAATGAATTTCCTGTGAGGGCCAGGAATAGAAGTGAGCCTCTTTCTGTTTCAACGCCTTATTCATTTCTGGGTGATGCCCTGACAGTTAGACACTTTCACTCAGGGCGAGACAACAAATGTCTCCTGAGCTCAGTGCACAGCCAAGCCTTCCTGAGCTCAGCGAGCAGATCTGGCTGTTTCCCCAGTTTCGCTCTGTAATTTATCACTTAGATAACCTTCAGCTGGTGGGTCTCTGCGACTCCTGTCTTTACAAGGTCAATAATATTTTAAATACACACGAAGCCAAACTGACATGATTCCCTCCAAGAAAAAGAGGCTTATCATTTCAGTCCCAGAAAGCCTTTATGTATTTATTTATTTATTCATGGAAAAAAAAGAGAAGTATGAGGATTCAATACTGCATAGTTTATTGATCAGCAAACTTTTCTTTCATCTTTTGCTTTGTAAACATTTGAGACTGGAATGTGCTGCTGCAGAAATACCACCTTCTAAACCCTGGTATCTGGCTTTGCCAGCTGAGCAGAGCTGAGAGCTAATGACATCAAAGTGAGAAGTCCACCAAAGTGGCACAGAATCTACTCCCTTGTCCTTCAAGTAGCCATGGGCAATGAGAAGGACCAGGAGAGAAAACAGATGCATCTGCATCTCTACCCAACTTCCAGAAGAGCAGCAAAGACTACCACATACAGAGAGTGAACTGTGGCCCCTGTCTGCATACAAAGGATGTACTGGTGGCCCCTGTCTGCATACAAAGGACGTTATCCTTGGGTGTGGAGTATGGAAGTGGGAACCAAAGGAAAATCAGCAATGCCTGTGTTTTTCGTTAGGGATCATTAAGTAATTTGCCCTACATTACGATCTACAATATCGCACATGGCCTATTCTTAAGTTGCCGTTTTGGAACGGACTTGTCTAGACTTTGTAGCACCGGTCCTCATCACCTTCCTGAATTCTGTGTGAGTGAGTTTTATGCTGGTCTCAGAGGGAGAATTGTCTTTCCTTTTTTTAAATCTGGATGTTTGAACTCTTTCTAAGTGTCTTACAAAATTATCATCTGTTACATGAAATTAAACTTGGCTTGAGGATGCCTTCATACTTTTGAGTTGTTACGTAATGGATTGCCACCTCACGTGGGACATGAATTAACTGAAAGCCTAATTTGGGAGTATACTTTGGCAACAAAGGGTTGAGTCTCAGCCAGTCACAACAGTCAAGCTTCAGTCAATCGCAGGTGGCTAACTGATCAGACCATGTTCAAATAAGGCAAACGCTGAGCCGTAACCAGTCCAGCTGCTTCTGTACCACGCTCCCATTCCCCCTCCATAAATGCTGCCTGCCCGCGGTTGCAGAATGGTGCTCTCTCCGCCCTTTCTGGTTCTGGTTCTGAGTGAGGACCACCCCATTCTCACACTGTTCTTTGCTCAATTAAACTCTGTAAATTTACTTTGTCTAAAGTCTTTATTTTAACACTTCAAAATTCTTAACTATTTTAAAGCCTATTTTAGCGTACTTTGCCAAATATCATAGGATGAGTTACACTCTACATTCAATCCCATATATCTGGTGAATGTACTGCAATGTGGAAAATCTATAGTGCCTCTATAGATTTTAACATCTTACTCTGCAAAGGTCTTAAAAAACAAAATGTATGTAGAATCATAGTGAGAATGTCCATTATCATGCTCTAGAACTGCATAGTTTATTGATCAGCAAACTTTTCTTTCACCTTTTACAAAGGTGATGTTTTTAATTTTATAAAATCTAAAATTGAGCTAAGTTAGTTTTGTTTTGTTTTGTTTTGTTTTGTTTTGTTTTGTTTTGTTTTGTTTTTGAGATAGAGTCTTGCTGTGTCGCCCAGGCTGGAGTGCAATGGTGCAATCTCGGTTCACTGCAATGTCTGCTTCCTGGGTTCAAGGGATTCTCGTACCTCAGCCTTCTGAGTAGCCAGAATTACAGGCATGCGCCACCATGCCTGACTCATTTTTGGATTTTTAGTGGAAACGGGGTTTCATCATGTTGGCCAGTCTCAAACTCTGGTCCTCAAGTGATCCACCCGCCTCAGCCTCCCAAAGTGCTGGGATTACAGGTGTGAGCTACCACACTGGCAAAATTGAGCTAATTTGGTTTAAAGTTAATCATCACAAGTATCAACTTTAGGCTAAGCAAGTTATTTATCTCTGAAGTTTTGTAAAAATGCTTAAGCAGAACCAAGATATTGGAAGCAGGCAGGCAGCATGGAAGGAGTAAACACGTTCTTTGCAGTGAAGTATTAGAACCCTGGTTACCTCTCCAATGGTTGTAAATCTGGGGAAACCTTACTTTTCCTGGATCCTCAGATTCCCTGTTTGTAAATGTTGGTTAATAATGCTTATCTTGCAGAATTTGTTAGGATATGTAAGATGCTATGTGAACAGAAGCCAGCACAGTGAATGCAATAACAGGCATTCAACAAAGAATGAATGTAATCAATAATATTTCAACAAGAAGTCCATTATACATTCAGTACTGAAGTTCAGTGCTACCTGTTGGAAAGTTATAGGCCTACCTTACCAATAATACTTATCTGGAATTTATCTCTCCTTAACAGATGTATGATGAGAAATGTTTCTTGAGCCAATCAGTGTATTAATTTGATTAATATTCATGACTTTGGCATGATTACTTCTTTTTTTTTTTTGAGACAGAGCCTTGCTCTGTCGCCCAGGCCAGAGTGATCTCGGCTCACTGCAACCTCTACTTCCCAGGTTCAAGCAATTCTTCTGCCTCAGCTTCCCAAGTAGCTGGAATGACAGGCACCTGCCACCACACCTGGCTAAGTTTTGTATTTTTTAGTAGAGACGGGGTTTCACTATGTTGGCCAGGCTGGTCTCAAACTCCTGACCTCGTTATCTACCTGTCTTAGCCTCCCCAAGTGCTCGGATTACAGGCGTGAGCCAGATTGCTTTCTTAACCATAGTATAGCACATCATCAACTCTGCTTAGACACTTTTGTATGCTTTCTTTTCCATCATTTTATTACTTTTTCAACTTAGGTGACTTCAGAATCTTTTACCCCTTAGGTTGAAACATTGGTATCAAAAGACATCTGAAACTGATACAAATTTCTAATGCTTATGCTTTTATTCTAAAATTAGGCCTCAGAAGTTTCTAGAAACAGAGGAGCCTCTTTACTGGCCAGGCCAGGACACAGCTTAGTAGCTGCTATTCGAAGCCAACATCAACATGAGTCATTGCCACTGGGTATGTATCATGCTTCTTTGAGCCAGGGGCTCACAGAATACCAACACCTAGCCTTGATTTTTTGTTTGTTTTTCTGGTTTTTGTCAAAAAGCCTTTACTACTCAACATTCTGTGTTTCCTTTCTCCTCTTTTAGGATATAGTGTATTCCCCGACCCCTGCTCCCATTCTCCCCTCTGTCCTTTTCCCCTCTCCCTTCCTTCTCATCTCTCTGTTCCCCTCCCTCTCTTTTCTATTCTTTCCCAAACTCCTTTCTTCCTTACTCTGTTCAGTGATTTGTTAACCCCATGCACAAGAGCATGGTTTAAATAGGGAGGTGAATTTTACTGTTGCTAGACAGTTTTTAATGCATACCTCTCTTTCCACGTATGTATGGCATAAAGTTTGCAGTCTCCATTCCTAACTTCAGCCACCTCTTTCCAAAACATATGCCACTTATATTAAGGAAAATGAAATGAGAGCATCTAAAAGGTGTTTCCATTATCACTACTGGGAAATCAACACATGGATTTCTTTTCACTCATAAAGAATCTTTTACCATAACTGTGGCAAAATGACCAAGAAAAGTTAGAAGGAAGAGAGGAGAACTCCTCTTATGGGAGAGCTATTTTGTTCTCCTTTACCTGTTCATGCAGAGATGCATTAATACCCAGTAAAGATCCTGAAGCATTAAGGATGATTAACATAGATCTGGTTCACTTTGAGTTTGATCCCTTAAAAAATTATAATGCTATTATGTCACATTTTAAAAACTCTCAAGAGCTTGCATTTTTTTGATGAGTATGCTGCCTGCCCTTCAAATGCCTTCATTAATCCTGGTATCAAGCAGCCATTTTCCAATCATCAGAGTGATTATCTCTGGGCTGCAGACTCAACCACAACTCTGTGCTTTTGTCTGTTTCAGCATATAATGACAAGATTGTGGCATTTCTTCGCCAGCCAAACATTTTTGAAATGCTGCAAGAGCGTCAGCCAAGCTTAGCAAGAAACCACACACTCAGGTAAGCCTCGCCCCTCACTCCCTGGAACTCTAGGTCTTTCCAGCCATTTTTCCTGGTGGGAAAACACCTCTGTGGAGAAAGAGCAGAAGCTTATTATGCATTCTTTTTGTGCATTTAAATGAGAACTTGAATCCTCAAGATGAAGGGTTCGGGGTTCCTGTATTCTGGGAAATGGCATCATCAGAGATGGTCATATTATCAGATTACGTATCATTTATATGGTACTGAAATGATTTCCATTGACTTGGAGGAAAGGACAGGAAGAAAACAAAATAGCTTCCATTAAAAAATTATTTATGCACAGCACCATATAAATTACTTTTAGTTTTGAAATATAATTGTTGAATGGTAAACCAGATATTGAGTGGTCATGTTCGAAAATAAACAAGCAAACAAAATGTTTCCTATGTGTTCTAACTACTTACATCTTATTCTTCATCAGGGTCATTTTTGAACAAGTGCCCCTGAAACTCTGAATCACTTCATGTGGAAGGGATAGCGATCTAAAATGATAAAAAGAGAAAATATTGCCCGAACTTAAATCCTGCTTTCTCACCAAAATATTCAAACATCTTTTTGCTTTGGTTTACTCTGCAACATTCCAAAAACTGGAGAGGCATGGGGGTTAAGAGCACATCCCTTTGACATTTGAATTCTTACTCCAACAGGTAGGGACTACTGATGGAGGTGTGTTATTCAACCCTCTGCCCTTAGTCTCCCAAATGGAGGTCACAAAGTGGGCATGGTTGCGATACTTACATGAGGATGTATAAAGGTTAAGGCAGGGCAAGCGAGAATCCCAGCAATGGCTACATTTCATTCTTCCCTGCCCATGTGGTGCAGTCTTGTGAATGGGGCTGATACCTGCGATACTCTACTCTGACTTCCTCGGGGAATCGCTAACAGCTTCAAGTAGGCTCTTTGCTTTTCAACCCTTGCCACTCCTGCCAGAATGGATCATTCACCATTCTTTCCCCTCCAGCACCCCCTCTTTGACACCTCTTTTTCCTGTATTTTCACTCTGTAAATTAGAGCCACTACCCTCCCAGCTGTCCCTGATCTCCTCTCCTCCCTCTTCTTCCACCTACACATCTAAACATTCACCTCCTCATACTCTCTCCTCCATCCTCGTTTTCTCTTCTCCCTGCCATGGTTCAAGTTTAGGTGCTCATCGTTTCTCTTCTGGACCATACAGGGGTTTCTCCTAAAATATTCCCTATCACCCTATCATAACCAAGTGGCCTACTTAAAGCATAGATTAAATCATGTCCTCCCTACCCTTCAAAAAAGCTTTCATGGTTTCCATCACATATGAAATAAAGTCAATATTTTTTGTTTGTTTTTGAGACAGAGTCTTGCTCTGTTGCCTGGGCTGAAGTGAGGTGGTACAATCTCAGCTTACTGCAACCTCCGCCTCCCAGGTTCAAGCAATTCCTGAGCCTCAGCCTCTTGAGTAACGGGGACTACAGGCACGTGCCACCACACCCAGCAAAATTTTGCTAATTTTTGTATTTTTAGTAGAGATGGGGTTTCCACCATGTTGGTCAGGCTGGTCTCAAACTCCTGACCTCAAGGGATCCACCCATTTCAGCCTCCCAAAGTACTGGGATTACAGGTGTTAGCCACCTTACCCAGCCTGAAGTCAAGATTTCTAAGCACAATGTCCATGGTCTCCAAAGTCTGGCCCTAACCTAACTCTCTATCCTGTGCTAAGCTTTTCCTTCACCACCTCCACCGCACAGGCTGTGTACCCTCCTGCCTTTGTCTTTCCGGGAATGACTTCCCTGTTAAGGACCTCTCATCCCATTTTAAAGGCTCAGATCAAAAGCAAAAATTTGGTGATCTAGGCAGGCTTTAGTATTTCTTTTCTTTGGCAGGGGTGGGAACTTCCTGATGTTGCCAAGGCATTTGTGGGTTTTGTTTGTTTGTTTGTTTTGTTTGTCTGTTTGTTTTTAATTTTTTTATTATACTTTTATGTTCTGGGATAAATGTGAAGAACGTACTGGTTTGTTACATAGGTATACATGTGCCACAGTGGTTTGCTGCACCCATCAACCCGTCATCTACATTAGGTATTTCTCCTAATGCTATCCCACCCCTGGCCCCCTATCCCCTGACAGGCCCTGGTGTGTGATGTTCCCCTCCCTGTGTCCATGTGTTCTCATTGTTCAGCTCCCACTTAATGATTGAGAACATGCAGTGTTTGGTTTTCTGTTCTTACGTTAGTTTGCTGAGAATGGTGGTTTCCTAGTATTTCTTTTGTCCTGCTTTGATAGCATGCTTTTTGTGCCTCAAAGATATTTTTAGATCTCTCGTATTCTGTCATTTACTTGTGTCTCCCTACAGCACTCTAAGCTCTTTAGAGCAAGGCCTTTCTCTTCCTTGTCTTTGTGCCCACTCTGCCCCTTAGAACCGGGTCCTCTACTTTGAAACTAGGAAACACCAATTACTTTTAGAGTGAATGAAAGATCTTTAGCATGAACCAATGATCTTTAGCATGATGAATGGTCACTTTCATTTATGTTCAACTCTTAAGAAGTCTCTCCCCAAGTTTCATTACTGTACTGCTGCAGAAGACAGGGTCATATTCAACCACCTGGGTCATTCATTCATGGACTGCTCTTTGACTCACCTAACAACCTAAGGGAATTTTCAAGGGATTCCCAGGGGAGCTGTATTATCTTAAGGGTTTTTGACGCATGGTTGTTCTTGAACATTCTTTACATTACTGATTCTGCCACTAAGTAGTGAGTTCACTTCTTGCTTTTTGGAAGAATTTCAACTCACCAAAGGCACAAAAGTCTCATTTTAATCATTAGAAAAGTTTTTTTTTTTTTAAGTAATTCCCTATATAAATGAGTGGAATATATTTCCAAAGGGCAGTAAACTGTTTTCAGCCCTATCATGTATCACATTATAACAAAATCCAAGAAACTTTAAATGTTTTGTTGCAATATGGGATTGTACAATTATGATTTTGCAGAGCTGGGGTAACTTGAAATTGGGCCACGTTGGAATTGGAAAAACAACTTGGAAATTATCTAGTATAGAAACTAATAACCTATTTTAAGGTTATGGACTCCTTTGAGATGCATATGGAAGCTCTTTTGGACTCTCCTCCACATATAAATATAAACCTCTGAATATAATTTCAAATAGTTAATGGACCCTAAAGAAACTGTGGACCCAGGTTGAGAACCCAAATATTTCATCAAAAACAGAAGGCTCACAATGACTATCAGAAACTAGACTACGCGATGATAGAATTTAAAAAGCAGAAAGAAAAGAGCAAGAACTTGTTCTTCAGGAGGTCAAGCTTAAGAGATGCAGGGGCCGGGCGCGGTGGCTCAAGCCTGTAATCCCAGCACTTTGGGAGGCCGAGATGGGTGGATCACGAGGTCAGGAGATCGAGACCATCCTGGCTAACACGGTGAAACCCCATCTCTACTAAAAAATACAAAAAACTAGCCGGGCGAGGTGGCGGGCGCCTGTAGTCCCAGCTACTCGGGAGGCTGAGGCAGGAGAATGGCGTAAACCCGGGAGGCAGAGCTTGCAGTGAGCTGAGATCTGGCCACTGCACCCCAGCCTGGGCACAGAGCAAGACTCCGTCTCAAAAAAAAAAAAAAAAAAAAAAGATGCAGGAAGCGGGGCCCTGCTCTCCATGACGAGGCCTCCACCTGCCCCTGAATACCATGTCAGGGTGAGTCAGATCCACTTGGAAGGTTCAGGAGTTGAAGAGAATACCACTCTCCTCGGGACCCCACTCGGAAGAACCCATGGCTTCCTCTGTGGTCCCCAAGAGCAGATGGTGACCTCTGTTCAGCCATTGCTGTTCTCAGGGAGTCATGGAGTCTCTGTCTTGGGTCCGCAAAGCCAGTTGCTGGGTTTGAGTATTTAGAAAACTGTCCAGTTGACAGCAGTGACTTGCAGTGAAAGGCAGGAAGCCACATGTAGAGAAGGGGATGGAGCCAGAAAACCCAGAGGTTAGTGGCATCTGCTATATTTAAGCATCTGCTATATTGGCATGGAGGCGGTCCTTCAACTAGTGCTTTGATTGTGTCACTCATCTGAATCAGGATTGTCCCAGGGCTATGTATGCAGTAGCAAGCAAAACAGACATGTAAATTCCCAATGAATTCGCAATCTATGGAGGGAGACAGATAATAGACAAGCTTGGGTTTGTTTTTTAAGCCAAATATACAGCTACATAATATGTTAAGTGCCATGAACATGATTAGAATTCAGCAATAGTGGAGAATATGCTGGTACAAAGGAAGAGGACTTACATCCTAAACAGAATGCAGGGAAAGTTTTTCCAAGTAGGTGGTGCTTAAGCTGAAACGTGTAGGATGAGAAGGCAAGGTGCCTTGAGATGCAAAGTAGAGGTCAGGGAGAGAGTATGCAAAGGCCCTGAGGCAGGAAAAGCTTAGACTTAGGTGAAGAATGAAAGAAAGCTAGTGTGGCGCAGGGGTAGATTGGGAGGGTAGGCGAGACCTACCGTGGTGAAGTTGGAGAGGGAGGCCCTATCACCAACAGGAAAGATTTTATTTGAATTGTGATTCTATTTGAGAAGTGATTGAGAAGTTTTCCACTGGAAAGAAATAGGATTGCATCTGTGCTTTTAACGACCACAGCTGCTTTTTCATGACCTTTTTCGTCTGTTTTTCATGACCACCGATGAAATATGATTGCAGCTGTGGTCGTTAAAAACACAGATGCAATGTTTGGGCAGCTTTGTGGGGAAAAGATAGGGAGGGGCATAAGATGGAACAGGGGCTATGCAGGAGACTATTATATTCATCCACGTGAGAGATGATGGTTGTGTGGACAATGGGAAAATATGGATTAAGAGGAGGGAGCAGTTTGGGGTGATACTGTGGATGCAAAAACAACAGGAGCTGATGACAGCTTGAACATGGTGGGTGAGGAGAAGAGAGCAATTAAGAATGACAGCCAAGTGTGGGGCTTGCGCAGGTGAGTGGATAATGTTGTCATTACTGAGATGGGAAAGACTGGAGGAGGAACTGGCTTGAAGAGAGGAAGAATGTCAAGGATTTCATTTTGGATATTGAGTTTTGAGGTCTTGGAAGCCACAAGTGGCTTCAAATGTCAGGATGTCAAGGAGGCAGGCGCCTGTCCTGTCCTGAGCTCTAGGGAAAGTGTGCTCTGGAGTTCTCCTGATGGTCAAGGGATATATGTAGGAGAGACAGCCGGCATTCTCGGCCTCAGATGTCTTCCCAAGTTCTCAGTGCACTTTGGGATGGAGTCCCAGGGGCATCTGGAGCTCCCTCACACCACTGGCTCTGCATGAAATGCTGCTAGACATGACAGAGAATATAATGTCTGATGGAGAGCCACCAAAACTCTCAGAAAATTGTGCTTAGCATTCAGACACCTGGATGTGGTCCATACGGTGATGCCATGATAGAACCACTGCACTAGGTGGCACTTTCTAAACTGAGGACTGCACTTTGCTGCCCTAGTGGAGATGGCCCTCTCTGGGCTTCTTTTTCCTCCAGGAAGGGAGGCCAGGGGCTTAACCAGATGTGGATCCCTTGGGGCAGGAGGATAACCTGCCCAGGGGGACATTATCATTGGCAGAGCATATACATTTGAGGTCATTCATAAGGCCAAAGTCATTAAATTAGAGACGATTCAAGAGCATCTTCCAAACAACAGGGCTGTGAGGTAGTGTCAGGATTTGGAGGAGAAAGCCCGGGGCTGGGGTCAAGGACATAGGCAGAGGGAGAAGAAGGTGACAAGAGGGGTGGGGATGTTCTGTTCTCTTGGCTGGGCTTCCACACGTTCCCTGCTGAATGACATGTGGACAGTGCTGCTCCCTTTTTCAAACCCCGTCAAAGAAGCCACTGTGAACACCCCCTAGGTTCTGGCGATGCCATTTCCTGCAACGGTGCTTCACCCGCACTGAGGTTGGATCAGAGTGCATTTCCCTGTTTAATCCCATTCTGTCTATCTTTGTAGAGGCTCAAAATCTTCCCTTGCCTTAAAAAAAAGATCTCCATGCCAAAAGGTCAAATTGATTATATTTTTTGCCTGAAAATCTCTAAGTTATGGTGAAGATTTGGATTTATATTAATACAATCAAAGAGAGGAAAAAGTCGTATCTGCAGTATTTTGGAAAATATACATATATTTTTTAATCATTCATCTTTTGGGCCAGGTGCAGTGGCTAATGCCTGCAATCCCAGCACTTTGGAAGGCTGAGGCGGTCGCATCTCTTGAGCCTAGGAGTTCAACACCAGCCTGGGCAACATGGTGAAACCCTCTCTGTACTAAAAATACAAAAATTAGCCAAGCCCGATGGTGTGTGTTTGTAGTCCCAGCTACATGAGGGGACTGAGGCAGGAAGATCACTGGAGCCTTGGGAGGTTGGGGCTTCAGTGAGCCATGAACAGGCCACTGCACTGCAGACTGAGCAACAGAGTGAGACCCTGTCTCAAAAAAATGATTTCTTTTTTAAAGAAAATACAAAAAACTAGCCGGGTGTGGTAGTGCATGCCTATAATCTCAGCTACTCAGGAAGCTGAGGCACAAGAATCGTTTGAACCCAGGAGGCAGAGGTTGCAGTGAGCTGAGATTGTACCACTGCCTCCAGCATGGGCAACAGAGCAAGACTCTGTCTCAAAAAAAAAAAAAAAGAAAGAAAGAAAACAGAAGAAAAGAAAATCATCCATCTTTTACCACTGGGAGAAACTGAGTGAAGGGTATACAGGATCTGTCTGTTTATTTCTTATAATTACACATGACTCTAAAATTACCTCAAAGTAAAAATTAAAAAAAGAAAAAAGTTAAAGATTTTTTAAAAAACAGATCCTTAATTTTCCCTGATTTCTACTGCATCTCTTCAAAAAAGACAAAAAATATTAACTCCTTTGAAGCATGCATACAATAGAAAGATTCTGGATATGGTGTTTGTAATATTTGAATAACATCAGGGAAGCAAATTAAAAAGTTAATTTGATCCAAAAACTCCTACTTATCCATAGACTTACTTGAAACAATTTGCCGAGTTGGAGTTGGAGGTTGTCTAAAAGGATCAGAATAGATGAAGTTGTAGCTAACAGAGACAAAATTGATGCCTGTGCCTTGACTGACCTGGGAGACTGTTCTTGGTTCTTGGGGCCGGGCCCCCTCTGTGCCCAATGTGGTATTATATATTTTCCATCAGGCACAAGATTTTTCAAGAGACACCCACCCGCCAGCTCACTCTTTCTTCCCATGGCTTCCAACATGACATGAGCCCAGAACAGTCTTTTTTTTTTTTTTTTTTTTTTGAGATGAAGTCTCACTCTGTCACCCAGGGTGGAGTGCAGTGGCATGATCTCAGTTCACTGCAACCTCCGCCTGCCGGGTTCAAGCGATTCTTCTGCCTCAGCATCCTGAGTAGCTGGGATTACACGCAGGCACCATCACACCTGGCTAATTTTTGTATTGTTAGTGGAGACAGGGTTTCACCATTATTTCTCAGGCTGGTCTTGAACTCCTGACCTCGTGATCCACCCGCCTTGGCCTCCCAAAGTGTTGGGATTACAAGTGTGAACCACTGTGCCCGGCCCCAGAACGGTCTTTCAGGAGCTGTCTCTTACCCAGCTCCACTCCTGACTGTCTTAGCTACCTGAGGACCTAACTTTGCTGTGTTCCTCAGCTTCCGTACCTGTGCAAGTCTGTAGAAAAGCCATCCGTTATAGAGCATCCTGAGAGCCTGTGATACGAGCTTAGAATTCTGCAAAATACATGGGACGTTAGGACATTGCTATTCAGCAGTATTGGAAAAGGAAATAAGAGATCCGAAGAAGATGTATTCCTGAGCTTATGTGTTGGCGTCTAATTTTCCTCTTCTTTCTCGCATGATTCAGGGAGAAAATCCATTACATTCGGACTGAGGGTAATCACGGGCTTGAGAAGTTGTCCTGTGATGCAGATCTGGTCATTTTGCTGAGGTAAGGGGCTAGGCCTGAAATCCTTCTGGAAAAGCTTCCCTGGGCAGCTCTTCTCCATCACGACCACACTGAAAATGGCCTAGACTGAAACACTCACCGCTTGTTCTAGAGGATTCTAGTAACTGCAACGCAAATGGGGCCCCACCCTTGTACCCGTGTCCACCACAGTCCTTAGATTTGCCAACTGAGGTAGCAAGAGCTGCGTAAAGTACTTGATGGAAACATTGTTTTAGGATTAATCAGGGTTTAAAACAACACTGAGAATTTGCAAGCGGGATGTACCTATCTTTCTATACTACATTTAAATCTAATAACTTTTGTTGCTTTGTGAGAACTGTAACTGCTGCTACCCCAATTCATGAACACTTTCCCAGGGAGGTAAAACTGACTTTTCTTTTTCTTTCTTTCTTTCTTTTTTTTTTTCTTTCATTTGCAGTCTCTTTGAAGAAGAGATTATGTCCTACGTCCCCCTGCAGGCTGCCTTCCACCCTGGGTATAGCTTCTCTCCTCGCTGTTCACCCTGTTCTTCACCTCAGAACTCCCCAGGTAACAGGAATCTGGCCTAATAGCTCCTGTTAAGTGGCCATGTGTTTCCTCCAGTGAAGGTGAATGAAAGGCAACTGTATGTGTGTGTTCTTTCTCTTGGCCTTCCCAATTCCCTAATTGAAAATGCACTCTATCAGGTTTTGACAAATGGCTGCCTGTTTTTTGTAATGCCCCCCAAGCAGAATGGGGTTTACAGTTTGAAATGGTTGGGGAAAAAAAAATTTTGCTGGGCAGGTGTCTCATGCTTGTAATCCCAGTGCTGTGGGAGGCCAAGCCAGAAGGATCATTGAGCCCAGGAGTTAAAGACCAGCCTGGGCAACATAGCAAGATCCCCTTCTCTACAAAAAAATTAAAAATAAGCCAAGTGAGGTAGCATGTGCCTGTAGTCCCAGCTACTAGGGAGGCTGAAGCAGGAGGGTTCCTTGAGCCCAGGAGGTTGAGGCTGCAGTGAGCTGTGATTTCACCACTGCACTCCTACCTGGACAGCAAAGAGAGACCCTATCTAAAAAAAAAAAAAAGAAAGAAAGAAAGAAAAAAAGAAAAAAAATTCAGATAGTATTTTATGACACATGAAAACTGTATGAAATTTAAATTACGGTGTCCATAAATAAAGTGTAATTGGACCCCAGCCATGCCTGTTCTATGCTAGCTTTCACACCAGACCTGAGTAATAGCAACAGAAACCACATGGTCTGCAAAGCCTAAAATATTTACTCTCTGGTCCTTCGCAGAAAAAGGTTACTGTCCCTGCTCTAAATTACTATTGCATTCCAAAGTCACTCTCCAAGCATGTCGAAGGGAAGAGCCCTTTCTGAAACATTCTACCTTGTGACTCTGAATCGACTGCACACCACTTTTGGTGATAGAGCTGCTAGGAACCATTGTTATATCTCCACAAAGATTCCAAAGAATTTTCGTACACATTTCAAAATTATTCCCCATTTTCTTTATGTATGAGAATGAACTTGTGGTACAAAAATTCTTTGCAGGTATTTTCCATTCCAAGTGAGGGAATATATATGTTGAACTGTTTAGTGAATAAAAGATATTTTTGCCAGACACAGTGGCTCACACCTTCAATCCCAGCACTTTGGGAAGCTGAGGTCGGTGGATCACTTGAGCCTAAGAGTTCTTCGAGACCAGCCTGGGCAATATAGTGAGACCGCATCTCTACCAAAAAAAAAAAAATTTAAATTAGTCAGGTGTGGTGGTGCACACCTTTAGTATCAGCTATTCAGGAGGCTAAGATGTGATCTCTTGAACCTGGGAGACAGAGGTTGCAGTGAACCGAGATTGTGCCACTGCACTCCAAGCACTAGTTAACAGAGCAAGACCCTGTCTCAAAAAACAAACAAACGAAAAAAGAGATATTTTCTGGATTCATCAAGATAAAGAGCTTAGGTCAAATCCATACCTCCAGACTGGATCCAGATATCGGAGAATTTTTCCATTTGTATTTGACTTGCATTATCACATCGTTGTAGGTTTCATTTAAAATAAAAGAGATTAGTTTGAAATATCTAGGAACATCCTATCTCACAAGCTCTAGGGCCAGGGTTGGACCATGGTTTCTGAAGCCAGTGGTGAAATTCCCAAGAGAAACAGAACTTGGCAATAAGCTTTTTCTCTGAGAAAGGGATTTCACACTCAGAGTTAGTATCATTCAGTACTGCCGTAGATCTCCAGACTAGAGTATCTTTTAGTCTGGTTCCTCCAAGTTGTAGCACTCAGAACTCTCTCTTAGAGGTAGTTTTGCTGTTAAAATACGTTTTCAAGATTGTATCTCCCTGTTGTCACTTCCTCCAAACAAGTGTACCAACAGCATTGTTAAGGAAATGTGCAATGCTTACTACCTCTGACACACAACATAATTAAGATCCCCTTGCCTAAGGGGACCAGGAGCTTTGCTAGAGCCGACATCAGTACAGCCACACACTTTCAGCGCTCACAGGATGACCTACTTTTGGGGAGCGAAGACAAAAGTAGGGGGTTTTGGGGGGAAAGTTTGAAGAAGCTGTAGGACTGCATGATGGTCTGCCATGTTGTAGAGATTCTCCCAGCCCAATAATGTGCTTATGCTTTGATACTAGACTATGATGTTAACATCATTATATGGGAGAGGTATCATACCGCAAATAGAAAAATAAGAGTAAATGAAGAGTTATTTCCTATATGAAAATTATTTGGATATTCTAAAAGGAATAAACTTGCCAGATAGAGATATGACTGATGCCATGAATCTAAGTAATCATCCAATTCATTTTGTCAAAGTACTTCTTTATTCTCTAGCATTGACCACAGGATCCTAGAATATGTAATCCAAATATGTTAATTTTAAACTTTACAATCCCTATTCTCTTAGACCTGTATGAAATCTACCCAGGTGCTACAGAGATGGTGAATCATGAAGTTTATGCCAAAGTACTCTGTAAAGCATAAATTATTTGAGAAATGAACAGCAGCCATCGTAGGAACAGGTGACAGTACCAGCGGTAGTGAAAATCATAATTAATAAAATATACTGAAATGTGCTGGATAGAAAATTATACTTGCACCAACAGACCTGTATTCTAGTTCTGTGTACATCCCAAAACCTGGTATTCCAGCAAGACCACTTCTTTGCAAGTGATGGCCATTGGTTCCCTCAGGCCCAGGTGTTGTGGGGCCCAGGTGGGCGGGGCTCCCCATACTTCCTTGCTTTTACCATTCAGCCATATCCCTCCCCTCCCTTTCTCCCAGTTACTGTCATCTACCAACCTTTTTCTCATTCTCAAGGCCTGTGGCCCCTGCCTTGTGGTCTTCTTCTCCTTCCCAAGCAGGTCCTTCCATCCTCCTGGATGACTTCAACATCGACAGGGACCCTCATTCTGTTCCCTGGCTTCCCAGTCTCTAGACTTTGTCTGCAATGACTTTCTCCTCCCCTGCCTCAACCACTTACTCCCAAAATCACATTCCTGACCTTGTGATCTTCTCCACAATCACTAATTCAAACCTCCTCTTCCCTTCCGATGTGCTTGATCCACTACCCTCCCTAGTACCATCCTTTGGCCTCATCAAGGCCTCTGGTTCATGGACTTTTCTCCTTTCCTTTCTAACGTCTTTCCCTGATGCAGCATAGATTCTGCAGTTCATCATTTCAGTAGCACCCTTGCCAATGCCCTGAACTCCCCTGGCCCTCTCCGCTTTGTTTGCACCCTCTGGCAGAGCTTCATCCCGAGATGAACCTTCCTGTCTGCTTCCCCCCCTTCTGCAATCAGGCACTCTTGGGCAAATTCACCTCACAAGGCAGATTATTAATTCTAAATTAGTCATCTCTCATCTCATATGAATCTTGACCATCCAAAGGAAAATTCTAGCACATTTTTTTCTATCTCCTCTATTATTTCAAACATTTCCCCTAAAGCCTCCAACCCTCAGCACCCCTCCTCTCTCCTAGCAAATGACATCCTGTTTTACTTCACTGAGAAGTTGAAGCCATCCAGCAGAAATGTTCTCAAAGGCCTGCCATCAGACCCACAAGACTAGCAAACCTGCACACATCTTCTCTGTCACACCTGGAGGTCACGAAAGGAGGTGTCCTCCCTAAGGTCGCCATGAACTCTGGCCACCCAATCCGGCAGGCCATTCTCAGCCATCCTAATCTTCAGCAGCCTGTAACATGACCAGCTGCTGTCCCCCAGCATCCCCTCTTCAGTGTGCTTCTGGGACACCACTCCAGACATCTCATCTACTTCCCTGGCCATTCCCGCGGCCTCATCCTCCTCTTCCTATCATCCTCAAGGCTCAAACCCAGGCTTTTTTCTCCACTCAAACTGTGTCTCTCTCCAGACAAAGGGACTATCATCAAAGACAAAGTTCATACTCTTCCCTCACAAATGTATTCTTTTTCCACTACTCCCCATCTCAGTGAATGTCAGCGCAGGGCGTTCAGTTACAAAATCTGAAACCCAACTTTCCCTCACTACCTATATCCAATTCACTGCCTCTTAAATACATCTCCTCTCTGCCTACTTTGCTTCATCTCCACTGACACTAGCCTAGTCCCACTTGAGCTCTTTAAATCCACCTTGGTCCTCTGGGGTTTTGTTCTCTTCTGCAGGAAGATGGATGTTTTTATGATTCAAGTGACATCATGCCAGCCGTTATGCAAGGGCTTCCTACTACCCTTAGCATAAAACAAAATTGCTTAACAATGTACCTTGTCCTGTTTCATGCAGCTCCTACCCACCTCTCAGGCCTTGTTTTTGTACCACTTTGGTCCTTGGACCCTGTGCTCCAGACAAACTGGAGTACCACTTTCCATTCTGCCACAGGACCTTTGCACATGCTGATCTTCCACCTGGAATGCTCTTCTTCTCCCAGCTCATCTTCTCTCTTAGTTAAGGCAAAGCTTTTCTTGACCCATGCAGTCTAATTTGTGCCTATTTATTCTTCAGATTGTCCCCAGAGATGCCTTCCCAGACTTAGCCTGAACTCCCCTCTCCGTTTTGTTTGCACCCTCTGGCAGAGCTTCATCCCTAGATGAACCTTCCTGTCTGCTTCCCCCACTTCTGCAATCAGGCACTCTTGGGCAAGGAGCAGATGAGATCACAGCAGACTCTGTGATCTCAACGAACTGGGTTTCTTTCCTTCATAGGTAACAATCATTGTAACTTGTATTATATACTCATTTCTGAGAGTTTACCAGCATCAGTCTTCTCTAAATTGTAACCTTAGTACCCGGAATATAGTAAGTAACTAATAAATGGTTATTGAATGGGCAAGCCTTGATTCTGACCACCTTTAAAACTCGGGTAAGAATGTTAATTTTCCATTCTTTTTTTAATTAAAAGGTATATATAGTAAAGTGTTTACAAAGCACTCTAAATGAGACAAAAGTTCTCCCCTATATAGAGTTAACAAATTATTATTATTGTAAACTTTACTTTTATGATGCAAGGTCATCTAATATAAACTCTAATCTAATATAAACTCCTAAATGCTCTGAGCCTTTGTGTACAGGTATGTTTATTTGAGCATCAATATCAATACAGGAGCATGATGGACACATATACTAAAGTCCTACTTACCTCATTATAGTTTCAATCACTTCTTGTAGCAACTTACAAGGAAAGTTTAGTTCAGTTTATGTTAATTATTTTAGATTATGCAAGTACAATTAAAGCCAAGAAAAATGCTCATCTAGGTCCTTTTAAGAGAAGTATAACTTGAAAGAATTAGAGAGGAAGACATAAATATTTATTCTCATTAGAACTCATAAATGAATTTAGTATATTATTTGTATACTTTAGTATATTATTTCTATTTATTATAAAAGCCACTGAGAGAGTGATGGAAATCAAGGGACTTCTTGGAGAAGAAGAATATGGAGATGCCAGAATGTGCCTCTGTTGGGCTCTTGCTCTACTGTCACTTTGCATATTTGTTCTTCCACAGAAAGTGATGACCTCATGCCTGTAATCCCAACACTTTGGGAGGCCTAGGCGGGCGAATCACTTGAAGTCAGGAGTTCCAGACTAGCCTGGCCAACGTAGTGAAAGCTCATCTCTACTAAAAATACAAAAATTAACAACAATTAGCTGGGCGTGGTAGTGCACGCCTGTAATCCCAGTACTTTGGGAGGCCAAGGCGGGTGAATCACCTGAGGTCAGGGGTTTGAGACCAGCCTGATCAACATGGTGAAACCCTGTCTCTACTAAAGACACAAAAAATATCAGCAAGGTGTGGTAGCACACACCTATAATCCCAGCTACTCGTGAGGCTGAAGTAGGCGAATCACTTGAACCCAGGAGGTGGAGGTTGCGGTGAGCCGAGATCGCACCACTGCACTCCAGCCTGGGCAACGGAGCGAGACTCTTTCTCAAAAAAAAAAAAAAAAAAAAGGAGAAGAAGAAGAAGAAAAAGAAGAAAAAAGAAAGTGATGACCTCTGTGTGCTTCTCTCTGCAGGTTTACAGAGAGCCAGCGCAAGAGCCCCTTCCCCCTACCGGAGAGACTTTGAGGCCAAGCTCCGCAATTTCTACAGAAAACTGGAAGCCAAAGGATTTGGTCAGGGTCCAGGGAAAATTAAGTGAGTGTTCCAGTGCTTAGCACTGAATTCAGACAGTAGATTTTTCTATCCCCTTCTCCCCTACACCCTTGTAATATTGTTTTTGAGATCGGCTACTCTGGTGTGGTAGTGGTTATGGTCTGAAGCGGGGGAAGAAGGAAGTTGGGAAGCTGGAAGGAAAGAAGAAAGGACATTAGGAAATTGGAAGGGAGGCAGGAAGAGAAGGTAAGAGAGGAAAAGAGAATGAGAAAGAACAGAGTATTTTAGACAAAGGCATGTAGAAAATCACAGGGTAGACCTTTTCAGAAAACAAGGAATCTTGAACTAAATAAAAAATCTCATATTTTCCTTCACTTATTCTTGGGAAAAAAATTTAACTCATTAGTCAAATTTAAAGACTCTTGGTAACTTTGTAATTGAAGTCTAAGTAAAATGTTGTTTATAGTTTCCCTTCTGGGTTTATTATTTTCAACTTAAAAAGCTGAACCCAAACTCAGGAATCTTAAGCAATATCCTATGAGTTGATCAAAATGAACTATCTTAAAAGCAGTTCCATATGATGGCATGCACAAGAAGTGTACACATTTTCCTTGCGCTCCTGATGTTTTGAAAAGCGTGTTCAGATAATCCCTCGATGAACTGACGGAACCTGCATCCTGCTCTTTCCTCTCGTTGGAGAGGCTGGGGAGTGAGAACCTAAACCTGGGCACTCACAACTCACTTAGAACCCTGTCCAGCATCCTGACTTGAGGGCCACCACTCACCACCCCTTCTCCTTCTCAGGCTCATTATTCGCCGGGATCATTTGTTGGAGGGAACCTTCAATCAAGTGATGGCCTATTCGCGGAAAGAGCTCCAGCGAAACAAGCTCTACGTCACCTTTGTTGGAGAAGAGGGGTGAGACACCAGGAGTTTTATGCAGACACCTAAGCGTGGGTGGGCCAGAGCCTCAGGATCAGGGGTGATTTTTCTCAGGAAGGAGCAGGGTAGCTGTCAGCCTTCACCCCAAGGCGATTCCTTCCCAGGATGTCCTTCTTTTCAGGTATTGCCAAGCTTCAAAAAATGCCATGTTCTTCAAAAAGCTAAGATTATTGGCATGCACAAGAGGCTGAGATCACATGGTCAAAGGATAAGCCAAAAATACAGTCCCAGGGCACTGGATCTTTCCTTTTTAGGTGTTGTACGCTTCTGAGTATCTAATTTAAAAACCTCTTTCTCTTAAAGCGTATGTATACAACTTCATGCCAAACTTTTCATATCATTTCAGTGATTTCATGGGAAACCACCTCAACCATGAAGGACAAGCCCACATGCACACACACACTCATGCACACACACACGCATGCACACACACGCATGCACACACACGCATGCACACACACATGCATGCACACACACACACATGCACACACACGCATGTGCACACGCATGCACACACACGCATGCACACACACATGCATGCACACACACACATGCACACACACATGCACACACACACACATGCACACACACATGCACACACACATGCATGCACACACTCACTGTTGCAGAAAATTCTTTTACGTGTCCCACGACAAAGGCCTTGTGTTCAGTGGGCTGGCTGTGTGTTTTAGCTCTGAGGTGTTAGATGATCAAAAGAAAACACTAAGGAAAGCTGCCATGAGAGTTTGTTCATGGACATCTGGTTAAGAAACATCTCCAAACCAATTACTGCATCCTCATTTTCTTGATGAGGATTGATACTTCCACTGAGATTCACTCCAAAGAGCAGAGGCTGCTCTCTGCTTTCCCCAGCACCCAACTCTGAAAGGGCACACTAGAATTTGGGTGTGAACAGGTCCCCTCACCTCTGGGCACAGAATGAGCTTCCTGGACCTCTGCTTTCTTTGCAGCCTGGACTACAGTGGTCCCTCGCGGGAGTTCTTCTTCCTTCTGTCTCAGGAGCTCTTCAACCCTTACTATGGACTCTTTGAGTACTCAGCAAATGATACTTACACGGTGCAGATCAGCCCCATGTCCGCATTTGTAGAAAACCATCTTGAGTGGTAAGCTCTATAATGTTCACTTTCTTGTGTTTGAAAGTTCTCCTCTTTCTTAGTCAGAATTCAGAAGCATTTCTCAAAGGCTGCTGTGTTTAGAGCAGTGGCCAGATATTATGAGGGATGAGCGTGAATGATGCAGCCCAAGAAGGGAGACTCTGTTAGTCTTCACCCAGAACACAAGATGAATTTACCAAGGATGCTGATAATATATCAACTGCAAATTGATGTGAGAAAGAATAATTGCCTACTGAGAAGACACTAAGATCAGTAGACATAAGTCATGAATGTTGATAATGTTACTAAAATCATAAGGTCCCAGTGGAGGCTTCTTGGAGGTATTTATGGGTTTGAAATTCTTTGACCTTGGACCGATGTCTTTAGCACCGTGGACACTGGCTTCCGCATCTTATTGTAAGACATGGCTATTGGGTCAGATGATCTCTAAGTATTCTTCTGACTTGAAAATCCAGTATGTCTTTGGTTCCTGAGTTGTCTGCTATTGAGGCATTCTATTACCACTTACTGATATGTGTAGGAAGATTGGTATCAATCAATGCTGTGCAGTTTTGTGGTGCAGATGTGGGTATTAGCGGTCTCCAGAATGCTGCTGGAACACCTGGGATGCAGGCACTTTCCTGCTGCATCACCACATGCCTGATTTGAAAATTACCGCTGCTCTGACTGCAGGAGCTCCTGCTGTTGAGAGGGAAAGGAGTCCTGGAGATGGCTAATGTGGGTTCTTCTGACATGGTTTATTTATGCTGCTGTTGAGGGGAGCCACTGGGGTAACACCTAATCCTGCTGGCCTTAGAACCCAAGTTCCTATAGTTTGGCTATAAAGCATCAGTGTAACCCACCTGTGCTAAGGCTTCCAGCTATTGCACATGCCTTCTCTCCAAATGCACTCCCAGCCCCTGAAGTTCTTGAGCTGAGGTAGAGTGAGTGAGAGCACATCGAGGGTTTGGTACAAGATGAAACAAAACGTGCCCTTTGTCGCCCCAGAACTTGTGAATAAGTGGATGATGGAGCAGAGCAGGCAAGTCACCGTGGAAGGGCCCGAGAATGGAATCTGCCTCTCACTGAGCTCACATTAAGGCAGGCTCCATTCTGATGGTAGAGAGTGCTATGACCTGTAACACAGGAATATACACATACACAGATTATACCTAATACAATCCCTCAGCTAGCTCTTAGTTTGTGAGCATGAAATTTAAGATGGTGTCTTAGAGGTCATGAATTGGAATCAGCAATCAACAGAGAAATATTTTCATCAAATATCTTACCATATAAGACTATGCTAGGTAGTGTCAGGAATACCTTCGCTAATTTAACGCTTATAAATCAAGCACATAGTGTGTGCTGGGAGGATACAAACATAAAATGAGCAAGGTCTCATGCCTCAAAGAGACTAGTGTGAGGAACACATGAGCCAACCAACGATCACAGTACAATAGCTTCAATGCTCACTTATTCACATCTACACATGTGGGCATGTGTTTGCCTGAGATACATAGATAAGCCTGAGAATTATATTCAATCACAAGGGAAAAATATCTCGTTCTGTCGGAGGTAGGGGGTCAGGGAGTGGGGAATGGAGTCTGTGAATCTTACAAAAAGAGGGGACAGTGGCATAGGACAACAGGGACAAGCACCACGGTGGGATGAATGGAAGCCGACATTTGAAGAAAACCTTGGTGTCAAGCATGTTTCTGTGCAGCCACCAAATAAGGCCACAGGTGAAGGCCTGATGGGAAGCAGGGAAGATACTGTGGCCCCCACTTGGCTGGACTACCTGTTAAGAGTGGCCTCCGTCGCTTTCCACAGTGACCATGCCTCGCCTGCTGCCCCGTCCCTGCAATCAACCTGGCTTTGTGGCCTTCTGCTCGTCCATGCATTGCAGGGCTGAAGAGGCTCTGCAGATGTTTCCGTTACACTTTATCACATTAAGGAAGGAAATTATGTGATACAGGGATTTTGCACGAATTACCAAAGTTCTCTGGATGATCCCTGATGAGGGCTTGGCAGTGCCTGCCCTCGAAATGCAGGTTAACCGCTGTGTCCTTTGCTAGAGGACTTGGCCCCGCACTAAGCATGCTGAGTTTCATCCGCTGATGGTCTCATTCATGTGGAGAGTATTTGTGATGCATCCTGGAAACACAATTGCAGGTAGTTTTCTGAGCCGACTAGCAATCTAAACTGAACCCACGGTGATGAGATTTTCTTCAGCGCCACTCTTTGGATGCTGCTGACTTGTGATGAAATTGGCAGGGAACTCCCTTCTGATTTAAAGCTTCAACTGTGAATGCCTCAGTCCGGAGAGTCCTCAGCCTGGCATGCAGAACAAGCCCCTGCACCTCCACAGGGTCAGAGAGCAGATTGTATCATGACCTTCCAGGTGGAGTCACACTTTTCCTCTCTTATCAGTGGCTGCAAATTCCTGAGCAAGGGAAACTGGTTTTCTTTGCACAGAGCCACAGCTGACTGAATGTAAGCCGCCTAAGAAGAGTCTTATTTAGATTTTAACAGGAAGCCCTGATCAGCTTTGGACATCTTAACAAAACCATGATGCCGCAGTTATTCCTTTTGTTTATTTTCATACAGTAAGCCATCTTGTGCCATGAGGCAAATAGTTTAACAAACAAAACATGCAGGTTTCACCTATCTTGTGCCCCTGAGTGGCTCGTTAAGCTCTTTGGCCAGCATTTTAGCAAAGGGAGGCTAGGAGAGCCCAGATCTGGTGATGTGGCTTTGGGTATTTTGCACAAAATGCTGGCAGTGTATGGGTGCTGTGGCACCTGCCTGAAGAACTGTCACTGTCATTCCTGCAGCCGGCAGGTCCAGGACACTCAGGAAACCAGAATCCTGAGTCCTCAAATCTGATCGCCCACAACTGATGCCACTGGCTGCCTCTTAACCGCCCACAGGGTGGGCGTGGCTGCTGCTGATGTCGGATCGGGGTCAGGCGCTCCTTCCACCTCCTGAGGGAGTTCATCAGGAGAGTCATGGAGGCTGTGAAGAGGATGACAATCATCAGGGCCTGTGCATCACTCATGAGCAAGTGGAGAAACCAAAAGATTACAAGGCTTTTTTATGGGCACAGCCTTGACTTTGTAAAGCAGGACATTGTCCCTAGACACAAGACAAGCCAGGGCAGGATTTGACCTGCAGGGAGGACAGAGGTGCCTTCATGGACACCCACGCCCTGCCCACTTCCCTTCACTCTGGAATCAGAGATAAGCATAACCACAGACCCGAAATAAACATGGCAAACACAGGTCAGCTTCAAAAGTTGTTGTTGGTTTTTTCCAAAAACAGAAATTTTATTCTCTAGTAAGGCATATCAGAAAATGCTGTGTAATTGGTATTCATCTTTTATAAAATTTATAAATGTATAAAATGCTGATGAGCTAAATGGATCTATTTTGTACTACTGAGCATAATTTTATATGTTATCATAATCATTAATAAAAATTAGATGAATTTAAAAGTCAGTTGCTTGTAGGCTAGTGAAATAGTGAAAGTACTGGAGTTTTCCCTTAACTGGAAGAATTGTTACCACTTAACATACACACATTTAATACCGATTGGCTTGCTATGGAGGAATAACTGAGAAACCAAATGCACTGAGTAGAGTTTATATGAATGTTTTAACACAGCTGTTCTTACATGATTATACTTTTTAATGCCTAGCAAAAATCCATTATAAGGCTTCAAAAGATTAAACATCACTCAGGATTGACATGGTACTCAGCTGTGGCTGGAGGCAGCATCTTTGCAGTGGTCAATTTTATCTTTTTTTTTGTTGTTATTCTGCTTCTTTATCCTTTGCTGACCTTCTTCTGGGTCCCATCCTTTTACACATTTTCTGAGTTCCCTCTAAAAAATAAGCCCTATCAGAGCAGAGACACTTTTGTCTTATTTTACTCTAGCACAATGCCTGGCACTTTGAGGTGTTCAGAACAGCTCCCCGACCACTGGGTGCATAAATGAATATTATTCCACAAGTCACACCAGTCTCTTCCTTCTACCAGGGTTAAGATTAATAGAGTGCTCCTTCCTGCCATGTGCGATTAATTGCTCCAAGTTCACACTTTTCTGTATTGTCTGTGGTTTTAAAAAGTCAGCAATAAATGCACATGTCCCTTAAGAGCTTTACACTCTGGGAATCTGCTCTCCATGATGCGTGAATGCTGCTTGTTACTGAAGGAAGGCCTCCTCCTTCTCACACTGCACGTGCTCCTGCAGCGACCACTTCCGGGTGAGGCACTGCCTGAAGACATCAATGGAGAAACCCCTGACACTGTGTCCATCCTCTGAAAGCTCCCCTTTGAGAGTAGGTACTTGACATTCTGGGCTTCCTGCTTCCTGTGTGTGGGCTTTGTATCCCTTGGAATAGAGCCAGCTTAATCAAAAGCCCTAGCAGGGCATCATGATTCCACCCAGTTCCTTTCTTTCTAGTCCAGTGTTGAGACATACCAATATGAATAAATCTAGTGAAAATTCTGTGTTACACACGTTGAATAAGCTGGAAAAAAAAAAAACTGTCTGTGGGTTTTGTTTTTTTGTTTTGTTTTTGGTCAGGTTTTTTGTTGTTTTTTGTTTTGTTTTGTCATATTGCCTTTGGCCTAAAGAGACTTTCTGCAATTGCTGTTTCATTACTGATTTGTACGACTGACTTCCATACTGAAAGGACCCTGTCAAAGTCAGCAGTGATAATATTCAGGCCAAGGAGAGAGAGGAGATAGAATCAGTAGAGCTCTTTCAAAGCTGGAGCCTATAAGGGACCACCCATGGACACTGTGGTCACTCATGGACACAGCCCCTGCCAGACCTGGCCACAGCAGGTCAAAGCTGGGAAATAACCCTGTCAATCAACACTCTTCTCTCACCCTCCAGTCCCAACGGCCAAACCCAACCATAAACCAGAGGACAGAGGCTCTCCAGATACTGCAACCCACAGTGGTCAGTCCCTAGGTCACAGAGCAGGGCAGAAAAAGATGGGA